ATCTAGCCCAGTGTGTACCGGGGGCAGGGCAGGCTCCCTGCCTGCGCTCCCTGCCTGCCTATCTGCCTTGCCCCGCAAGAGGCTGGAATGTGGGGAAGGGGGGCGGAGGGGCTGTGTGTTTCTGTTGCTTGAGGCACCGCCTCCAGCAGCTCCCATTGGCCGCGGTTCCCCGTTCCTGGCCAATGGGAGCTGCTGGGGCGCTGCCTAAAGCAACAGCCACACACAGTCCCTCCGCCCCCCCTTCCTCACGTTCCAGCCTCTTCCCGGAGCTGTGCAGGGCAGGCAGGCAGGGAGCATGCCCTGCTCCCGGTGCACGTCTGGCTGCCGCTCTGGTAAACACTGGGGGAGGGCGGGGGGCTGCGAGGGGCTCGTGGGCTGCAGAAAATCAACCCGGGCTGCGTGTTTGAGACCCCTGGTTTACACTATGTGTTACCCCCAGTATTTATTGTACTTTATTTAATGTATTTATTTGGTTGGTTTCTTTTGCAGCATGATCTAAACACTGGTACAACAAATATAAACAAATATTCCAAAAATTACAGATTTGATCCATATAACCACTAAATCCCCTCCACTCATCCAACCCAACATAACAGTAACTTTACTTACCTCAGCCCACTTCCACTCTCCTCAGCCACCTGCACACCCTCCCTCAACACCCTGGGGAAATAGAGAATGGACACAAAGGTCAACAAATTCAAGCTCTGAAACCAAAGGGAGAAGTGTGCTCCAGTTGAGGGTCTCTCACTGAGAGCTCCTTCCTAGAAATACTCTTTCCATATAAAACCGAGGGCTCCTAGCTACAAGTAACTCAATTGACCTCTACAGCTGTAATACCACATGAAGAGATGGGCAGGCTCTAAACCATTCATGTGCAGCCTTTGGGATTTAAAGGTCAAAAGCAACACTTTGAATTGCACCCAGCAATGAAGTGGAAGCCAATGCAGCTCATGGAGCATTGCAGTAATGTATGCCCTGGGAATAGCCCCGGTCAACAAGCCAACAACTATGCTTTGCTCAGTTATAGCTTCCAAAGAGTCTTAGAGTGTAGCCAAATTTTGCAGTGTTCAAATTGTGCAAGGCACTTGGCAGAATAAATTAAGAGACAAATTTCCTGTCCTGAATAATTTACAATCTAAATTTAGACATGACAGTACAAATGAGGTGACACAGCAGAAGTGATTAGAAGGTATGAGGAGAGGATGTCTTTCCTTCCATATGGGACAGTGTGAGAAGATGCATGAAGTCAGGTATGGGAGTAGTGAATGAAGAGCTCATCAAAGCTTGTGTTATTGATGGGGTGGAGGAGCAGAATGCGGAACCAAATAGGAGAAAAGCTCAAAGATGTAGTCCAGGCTGATACACATAAAGCCAGGAAAGCCAGAATAAGTAGTTTGAACTTGATGTGCTGGGCAATGACAAGCCAGTGGAGGGAGGAAGATGATTTTAGCAGCACCATTTTTGGACAGTTTGAAGAGGAATAATGTATCAGGATGACAAGAGAGGAGAATGTTGCAATATTAGCCATGCCTTGCACATGGCCATGTCAAATGTCTTCAGTGGAAATTGGATGAGGTTTATTAGAACACAGCATCTAGTTACCGGAAGAAACTCAATGCACGTGTACATACAGCTAATAACAGTAGAGCCTTATGCCTCTCACTTCCTCAGTCTTCTTTCCAGCTTGAGGATCTTACTTCCCAATACCAATTCTATAAATATAACAACAACAATTTCCCCACCATTTTCCTATTGTGCTACAATAAATGCCAAGAGATCCATACAGTCCAGTGAGCACAGAATAACCCTTCTATTTACTAATTAAGAATTAGATCAGAAATGACTTTCAGCATATGTATGTATGTATGTACTTTGTGCGTGTTGATCAACCATCTTAATGCATTTATTAAATGCAAGGTCCTTGCGGTATTTAAAAATGTGATGCACTATGAGGCCATTCTGAACAATATCCCTGGCATGTGGAGAACAGGAAATAATCTCCTTGTTATCAGAGCTGTGATTCTTTCCCTGGCAGATAGAGACAGAAAATCAAACTCCTACCATCTTTTCTCAAATGCATTCCAACATGGAGGCCTATTACCCTGTGACTAACAGCTTTTACTTTGAAGAATACCCACCTGCATTCAAATTATCCCTGATGTGCCATCATGGCAATATGTATTTTAATCAGACTCCCTGAGTGGAGCTTTCAGTGAATGGTTGCTCTGGAGGCAGTCCAATAATATATGGAAATAAAGAGGAAACATATAGGAGCACAATGACTCACGACACTTGGGGTGTAACTGTGGGGGCAGAGGGTGTCTCCTAGCAGGAAATGGAAGAGCAGATGAGCTTTTGAAATGAGTTTGGAAGAGTGATGTGGGAACATACAATAACTCTACAAAATAAACATTCTTGGTCATTATATTGCTCTTCATTTACTCTCTCCAATTATAATATTGTGGTCAGTCTACAATGATGTATTTAAACACCCCCTCTATAGAGTGCATCTGATAGGTTAGGCAATACAACTGCTGATTCCATGCACATTTATTTTCAAATAATACCACTGTAGTCATGTTCATGGCAGACTGACCCCAGTGCATGGAGGGGGGAAACTCACTGTCAGAAAGTTGCCACCTCCTTTTCTTTTAAATCCTTCTTTGAAAACTTCCTTTGGACTGGCAGTCACCTGCTGCTATTATGACCACGGAAACAATTAATTTATTCAAACGTACCCAATCTTTATGTTACTTTGTCTCCCTCTCCCCACTTCACCACTTTTTGTTCTGTTTATCCACCTGTTTCATTTTATCATAATTTTAGCTCTCTGGAAGGGGAAATATCTTTGTTTTACTCACGTGTACAATGCCTTCCTAATCCCTGACTGAGACCTCCAGGCACCATCACAATAATCATCATCGCCATCACCACCACCAGCACACCAAAGGAATTTTCAGGTGTCAAGGTGAGTTTGTTTCCTTCCTCCTGACAGAATCCATTTAGGACCATCATTTTTGGACTCTAAGGCACATGATCTTCAAAATCTCTAGAACTGTGTAAGCAGTGAGGGTACAGTCTCTGGATGTGTGAGGTGTTGCCTAGTAATCTGTGGGTCTGTGTTACTAGCCTGTAGTTTTCTGAGAGTGCAGCATATCAGGTTTTTTTTTGTTCTGTTTTGTTTTTGGCAAAGGTAGAGCTTACTGAAGAGGGATAACGTGTAGTTTCATGACATTAGAAGTCATATAGTCCCATCCTATACTTTCAAACTTCTCTGGAAAGACATCTGCTTCCAGTTACTCAGAGGCAGCTCCCACTTTTCTGGCTGAGTAATACATATCGATGTGCATATACCAAAGAGCGGGGGTTCAGATCGGGATCCTGATCAAAATTACTTTTAGGATAGACTTTGAGGCTTGGGTTTCAGGCCCGATCAGGGCTTCTTTTGTCTTTGGATCCAATGGCTCCAAAATCTCAATGATTTTTGGCCTCAGCTGATCTTGAAAGATTTCTGTCATCTGCATGGTGGGAAAAACATCTTACAAAATCAGCTGTTCTTTTCAGATTCTTACCACGATGGGTTGAAACCAGCTATTATAACTAACTATAGCTAACACAGCTATTCCTGTGAAATTTTGGCTGCAACTGGAAAACAAATGTGTTTGGACAGGTTTTTAGTGTTTTATAATGCCACCCCTCATTGTAGCTCAGAGTTCAAATCTGAACTGCCCAACATTCAAAAGATTTTGGTTTTGAGGGTCCTTAAAAATTCATTTAAAAGAAAGAGTCATTGAGAAGGGTTTCTCTCTCTCTCTCTCTCTCACCATCTCAATGACTCTTTCTTTAACTGAATTTTAAGGACTCTCAAAACCAAAGCCCTTTGACTATATATATGTGTGCACATGCATGCACTGTTTTTTACAAAAACACAAGTTAACCAGGAAGGGGAGAGAGGCCATGAGGTCTTTTTGCCCAGGATATGAATCACCTCATTAACCAGTCTTTATCTGCTCTATTTTTCTAAACAGTTTATATCTGGAGCACAGCTGTTTTGAAGATGAAATCAAAAGGAGGATCTGGGTCTGAGTGTTTATCCTTACTGGTGTTCTTAGCAGAAAGGCTAAAGACTAAATGATTGTGGAGAATGAACTACTCTTCCATCCCCAGAAGTTATGGCTCCAGCTCATAGTTGAGGCACATTGATGGGAAAGCTTGTACTGCTGGAGCTTTTGCTAAAACACTTCTCTGGATAAACTGTGGGTTTCACTCCTAACATTGACAGGCTGTAACGATGCAGTTCTGGCAGGACCCAACTGAAAGTGCCAATTCAGGACAAATCACTTAAAACAGGGCAGTTCCAGCGCAAGGCTGGGGTTTTTCCACCTCTAAGGCAAACCAAACCAGCCAGACAGCGAAGACTTTGGTCTCACCCCACTGGCTAATCACAAATCACACAAGCAATTTCCTTAGACACTCCACTTTCCCAGTATCACCACCAGTGCCACTTGTTATGGGGACAAATGGTTATGAAAACCAATACCCCAATAAAAGAAAAAAGGTTCTCCTGATCCCAAAGGATCAAGCCGCAGACCCAGGTCAATATACAAATCAGATCTTACCCACAAATCATGCTGTTGCCAATCCTTTAGAATCTAAAATCTAAAGGTTTATTCATAAAAGGAAAAAGATATAGATGAGAGCTAGAATTGGTTAAATGGAATCAATTGCATACAGTAATGGCAAAGTTCTTGGTTCAGGCTTGTAGCAGAGATAGAATGAACTGCAGGTTCAAATCAAGTCTCTGGAGTACATCCCCAGCTGGGATGGGTCATTCAGTCCTTTGTGTAGGGCTTCCATTTGTAGCAAAGTCCCTCCAGAGGTAAGAAGCAGGATTGAAGACCAGATGGAGGAGAGGCATCAGCCTTTTTATAGTCTTTTCCAGGTGTAAGAATACCTCTTTGTCCTTACTGTGGAAAATTACAGCAAAATGGAGTCTGGAGTCACATGAGCAGTCCCTGCATACTTTGCTGAGTTGCAAGGCGTATTTGCCTTCTCTCAATGGGTCAATTGTATAGCTGATGGTCCTTAATGGTCCATCAAGCAGGCTAGGCAAAGCTAACACCAACTTGTCTGGGAAGTTTCCCAGAAGCATAGCATAAGTTTGAAATACAGACAGTATAGAGCCAATATTCATAACTTCAACTACAAAATTGATACACAAATATAGACAGCATAATTATAACCAGCAAACCATAACCTTCTCTTAGACACCTCATTTGACCCTCTTTAGACAAGATTTGGTGCCACTACAGGACTTTGGTTGCAACCATGTTCTATATAGTCCCAGTTCAAATCAATAACATGACACAGGCTGCCACCTTTCACTAAATTATCTACAAAAAATAACCCTTGGTCACAGCATATTCTGCATTTTAGAAGACCAGGGCCTCATTCTTTCAACAAAAATTATCTGTTTGTATTTTTACCCCAGGGTTTCTGATAAATCACAATTACATTTGTTAGTGAGTGAACAGGTAAAACAAGAACATAAGGACACACCTGAGGCACTTGGTCCAGAAACCTCCCTTCCTTCTCTCTACATGGAGAACACAGATGCAGCTGGGCGAGAGGACTTTGCAGCCTCCTGCCATTATCTAATCTGTCTATCCAGCTACCTACTTACCTGCCTTCATGGCCCTTATCATAATCTGACCTCCTCCCAAGTATTTCAAAGAAACAAGCAATATTAAGGTCCACATAAACACATCGGGAGATGGAGAAATAGAGAGTTAGATAATGACAGGAGGCAGTCAGATACTATGATAATTAAGAAGGGAGATAATGGGTATTAGCTTCTCCATATTAAAGTTGCAAGCAACCTCCATTATAAAACCTTGTATTTGCCCAACCTGTAACCTTAACTTGGCAAATCCATTGGACTTGAAAATTGCCAGGTTTTTCTGAACTGTTTTATTAAATTGACTAAGTAGTTTTAAAGATTTTTAAAAGGTTTCTTTCTGAAAACTGTGCAGCTTCAATTTTTTTTCTGCACCTCTTGGTCTGCCCAGCAAAATCAATTACACCACAAAAATTGAAAAGCACTTTGTACAGATTTTTATATTGACTTATGTAAGAGGCATGTGTATAGGGGCAGAGTTGTAAACTCTTTAATGCGAAAAATGGGCATGATTCTCTGTTACTGACACTGACAGGGAAAATAACATGATCATGGAGAATATTTTCCATCAATGATCTCTAAACCAACCAGAGCTATTTATTTAAAAATAAAAGGAAATTCAAGTAAGTATTTAACCTTAAGTCAACAAGCATGTTCTGTTACTCTTTTAAAATCTTCAAAATGTAGACAAAATTACTATACAAAGCTTTGCAATTCTCTTTTAACAATGTTGAAGCAGGGGGTAGGGCCACTGTCCAGCCACTGGTTCCCTCCACCCCCCATACACACACTTCTAGGCATAGGCGCCAACTTCTCCTGGTGCCGGTGGGTGCTCAACTCCCCCAGCCCCAACTCCACCCTGCCCTGCCCACTACTGCCCCTGCCCCACCCCCATTCCAACCCCTTCCCCAAGTCCCCATCCCAACTCCACCCCATCCCTGCCCCTATTGGACCCTTTCCCCAAATCCTCGCCTCCTCCTCTGAGTGCGCCACGTTCCTGCTCCTCCCGCCTCCCACCCACAGCTTGTTACGCTGTGAAACAGCTGTTTTGTGGTGCCAAGCACTAGGAGGAGAAGTGGGGACGCGGCATGCGGAGGGGGGAGGAGGCGGAGGTGAGCTGGGGTGGTCTGGGGCGCTTGGCTGCACCCACCAATGTTTCCTCATGGGTGCTCCAGCCCCAGAGCACCACAGAGTCAGCATCTATGCTTCTAGGGAGCTTCCGACACTAAGGCCCTGACTCCCTGGATGCTGGAGTCACATGCCGCTCATGGGGGAAGGAATCACCATATGCCCAGACTGTAACCATCTCACTCACTGGTGAGCAGATAATCAGAGTGAAGACAATGGGGCTGCTTGTGTGAGTAACTAGTCACCAGTGGGAGTATGGAGGTCCCCATCTGGCCCAAAGGGAGGAAGATACTTTCCTGAGGAAAGGTTTCAGAGTGGTAGCCGTGTTAGTCTGTATCAGCAAAAACAATGAGGAGTCCTTGTGGCACCTTAGAGACTAACACATTTATTTGGGCATAAGC